GAGAGTGATTCAGGAAGATGCTTCAACCGAGCGAACGGGACTGTGGACTGTACTACTGACACGTATTATCTGTTACTGTATGTTTTTATGTTGCTCTCACTGCATTATAATATCTTCTAAAGGAGTACCATTTCTTGCATTGCTTAATATGTCATGGTTAATGTTTCTCCCTTGTTTCAGTCTCCCGTGGTCCTAGTCCTGTAACATTGTTTATTAGACGTCTCCTCATCATCCTGTTGATTTGTATTGACTTGCATTATGTAACCTGCCTGGAGTTTCAGTGAGAAATGTGGGCTATGAATAACAGAAATAAACAAAAGATAAATAGTTCTGGAGGGCCGCTTCATGTAGACGCATAGGCGTGACTGCGCATGCAACATCAGTTTCAGAAAAGCAGCCTGTTCTTTGTTTCTTTCGTCCTCCTTATTGCTACCAAAAGAGCAATTGTTTCTACACTGGGTTTTTATTCTGTTATTTTATTTTCTGTAATATTTTTATCAGGACTATACCTGATATGATGAGCATAAATATTAGTATTAATTTTAAAAACAATTTTCTCACAAAGAAAGCTGTGTAAACCATTAAGAGGAATATTAAATTAACATATTTCTAGCCAAATCGTGAAAAATACAATGCTAAGTGTGCAGCCAGTATATAAATTCAAAACAAGAAGAGAAACTGTACTTGACAATGCCAGTTAACCAAGAGTACCTGGCCAAAAAGAATTCACCTTCAAAGTGGGTCTAGCCATATCAGGATTTTACTGTAACTATTCCTGTATCATAAATGAGAAGTGAACATCTCCTTTTGCATCTTGTCTAGCGTTGCCAGCTCTGGGTTGGGAAATACTGGAGATTTGGGGGGTGGAGTCTGAGGAGGGCGGGGTTCAGGGAGGAGAGAGACCTCAGCAGGATATGATTCCACAGAGTCCACTTTCCAAGGTGACCATTTTCTCCAGGGGAGATGATCTCTGTCACCTGGTTGATAGGTGTTGATTGGCGGCGGTGCTTTGAAGGAACTGGCGGGATCTCCGCGCCCGTCCCTCTGGGCATGCGTGCTGGGGTTCTTGCGCATGCTCAGTGGGACCCGCGCGAAAATCCTTTGAAACATAGCTTGCTACAGCACCGGTCGGGTCAGCGCAGGCGCACTAAACCCATTGGTGTGAATGCACAGATGACCACTCGAAGATCACCAGTTACTGGTAAGCAACCTGTTTTTTTTATGTTGCTCTCACTGCATTATAATATCTTCTAAAGGAGTACCATTTCTTGCATTGCTTAATATGTCATGGTTAATGTTTCTCCCTTGTTTCAGTCTCCCGTGGTCCTAGTCCTGTAACATTGTTTATTAGACGTCTCCTCATCATCCTGTTGATTTGTATTGACTTGCATTATGTAACCTGCCTGGAGTTTCAGTGAGAAATGTGGGCTATGAATAACAGAAATAAACAAAAGATAAATAGTTCTGGAGGGCCGCTTCATGTAGACGCATAGGCGTGACTGCGCATGCAACATCAGTTTCAGAAAAGCAGCCTGTTCTTTGTTTCTTTCGTCCTCCTTATTGCTACCAAAAGAGCAATTGTTTCTACACTGGGTTTTTATTCTGTTATTTTATTTTCTGTAATATTTTTATCAGGACTATACCTGATATGATGAGCATAAATATTAGTATTAATTTTAAAAACAATTTTCTCACAAAGAAAGCTGTGTAAACCATTAAGAGGAATATTAAATTAACATATTTCTAGCCAAATCGTGAAAAATACAATGCTAAGTGTGCAGCCAGTATATAAATTCAAAACAAGAAGAGAAACTGTACTTGACAATGCCAGTTAACCAAGAGTACCTGGCCAAAAAGAATTCACCTTCAAAGTGGGTCTAGCCATATCAGGATTTTACTGTAACTATTCCTGTATCATAAATGAGAAGTGAACATCTCCTTTTGCATCTTGTCTAGCGTTGCCAGCTCTGGGTTGGGAAATACTGGAGATTTGGGGGGTGGAGTCTGAGGAGGGCGGGGTTCAGGGAGGAGAGAGACCTCAGCAGGATATGATTCCACAGAGTCCACTTTCCAAGGTGGCCATTTTCTCCAGGGGAGATGATCTCTGTCACCTGGAGATCAGTTGTAATCCCAGGAGAGCACCAGCCACCATCTGGTGGTTGGCAACCATAATCTCATCCCACACTGCCTTGTACCAGAATTAGACACAAAGGCCTTTTCTTCTTGACGACCGGGTACGTCTCCTTGGTCTCTGACACATTTGTAGCAGAAGATGGTTTAAACCACTTTAAGAATCTGATTAAACCTGGCAATGCAGATAGGCTAAGCAAGGGTGTAGTGGTTAAGTGTGCGGACTCTAATCTGGGAGAACTGGATTTGATCCCCCACTCCTCCACTTGCACCTGGCTGGATGGCCTCGGGCAAGCCATAGTTATGATAAGAGCTGTTTTTGAAAAAAGGGTAGTTTCTGTCAAGAGCTCTCTCAGCCCCACCGACCTCACAGGGTGTCTGTTGTGGGGAGGGGAAGGGAAAGGAGTTTGTAAGCCGCTCTGAGACTCCCTTAGGTAGTGAAGGGTGGGGTATAAATCCAACTTCCTCCTCCTCCTCCTCCAAGCAGTAACTTTTTGGCTGTTCATCTGAATAACTACGTAGTCATATCAAAATTTACTGTGAGATGAGACAACCTTAAGAAAAATTAAGGTTTTCAAAATTAGGCATGTCACCTGTTTTAGATGTAAGTGATTGCCTGTTCATTTACTTAATTGGTCAAATTACTTTAAGTGCTAAACCCAATTAATAGAATGAGGCACTTGAAAAGGGACAAGTGGGTGTTAAATGTGTTGCATCCCCCCCCAATAGCCAGTAGTAGCAAGGTTCTGCCTCTAAACTGAGCTGCACAATACTTTAATAGGAAATATCTATAGCTGGAAACTTTTGAATGGTGGGGTGTTATGCTTTTGGTAAACTTTAACCTTCTTATACAGAGAAGAAGCATATTACTGATCTGGTATTGTAATTAAATTGTAATTATGCCCTGGTTTTTTTTAAAAAAAGTATTTAACAATGACTTTCCATGTTATAAACGTGACATTTTACTAAGGATTATTGTTTAGACTATCAGGATGCATCTATACAGAGCTAATATCTGGGATTTAGAGCAACCCTGACGGTAAAAGGCATACAGCAGGCAAAAGATAGTCAGGAGTCTGACTGACCCATATTGTAGAAACCTAGGTAGGCTTATAATTTTATCTGATGTGCTGCTAGTTAAAAGATGTAGGTAGTTAACTACTGAGTTAAGACAGAACTTCTGAGTGGCTACAAACCACCCCTCTCTCTTTGTTCTTCTCTTCCCCCGTCTTACCTCTGGGGATCTCAAGGAGGACTGCACCGCCCCTTCCCCAACAACAACACTAACCCTGTGAGGTGGGCCAGACTGAGCAAACAGCCCTGGCTGACACAGGTGACAGAGTCCTGGCCGGGGGTGTGTGTGCGGGCCGTCTGGACCCTGCCTCTCCCAGATTTCACCCCAGTTCTCATCCCTCTTGCACTGCCCGCAGAAGTGGTGGTGCTGAGGGAAGGCCTGAGGGAAAGGCTGTTTCTGAAACCTCCAGGGAGCAGTTTTTCCTCTCCCACAACCCCCTTTCCCCTTGCAGGTTGGGGGTGGGGAGAAGGGAGGTCGATGTCCCACACCCGCCCCAACACTCATTCTGACTCCCGTCTCTGCGACTGTTCAGACGTGCAGCTGCAACATCAACACATCTTTTTCTCATTGCTCCTCCACTCGCTTCTGAGGCTGGGGGGGTCCTTCCCCTCAGGGTGCCATGCACAAGATAGCCTGGCTGCCTCCCAATCCACGTGCCGGCCCTCCTCCTCCTCCTCCCTCCTTCCCTGCTAGCCCTGTCTCTTCATTGGCTAACTGCCGCTCCACATGCCCACTCTTTACAACCCCCCTCACAGTTACCATTTGAAAAAAATGCAAAGCCAGTTGGTGCAGTGCTGGCCACTCAGCTCCACCACCACCCCCTCTCTCCAATCCTGCTGAGCTGCGATCCAAGGAGGCAGGAGGGGGGAAACACCACACCTCCTCTTTCTCTGCTTCCATTTCCCCACATTATTTTGCCTCAGCCTCTTAGCCCCACCCCCTAGCCATTTCCTTGCTATTTCTTGACAGCTTTGACTACACACACACCTCAATATATGTACCTGCTCACCCCTCCCCCCAGCAGCCTCCTGCCTTCCCTTCCTCCAGTAACTTGTGGGCCAGGTAAGAGCCCTAGACAGGCCAGTTCCGGGCCCCGGGCCTTATGTTTGGCACCCTTGTGTTTTTTGTTTTTTAAAAAAACAATTTATTAGGATATAATTAAAATTCAAACACATATCAAAATTAATGTAATACATCCTTTTTCTTCTTACTCCCTCCCCTTCTTGGCTTCCCACAGTGCTCCAACCTCCTGCCCATGTCTTAAATTTTCTGTCTATCTTTCTTTCATATTCTACAGGTAACTCATTTTCCATCTATTGTTCTTATAAATGTACATTTTATGTTTCAATAATTGTCAAAGCAAAGCAAATTGTCCTTTACATCCCAGTATTTTTCTAAATAGTCTTTAAAGTCTTTCCAGTCCTTGAAAAATTCTTCTGCTTCCAGATTTTTAAGTTTTCTCGTAATTTTGTCCATTTCGGCCATAAAAAGTAATTTCTTTATCCATTCCCCAACTTCGGGTACCTTATCTTGTATCCAACATTGACCATATGTCATTCTGGCAGTTGTAATCATATACCACATCAATGTTCTTTTTGCCATATTAACTTCTTCCATTTTAAGTCCCAAAAGTAGTATTTCCGGTTCTTTTTTTAAACTTACATTTCACAATTTTTTCCATTTCTGCATGTATCTCAGTCCAAAACCTTTTTGCTTTGTCACATGTCCTTTTGACACCCTTGTGTTGACATATTACTTGGTATATAAATTTTGATGCACGGTTTTTGTTTTTCAGCGGAGATAGCCCAAAGGTACCGGATAAGCAAGTATCCAACTTTAAAATTGTTCCGGAATGGAATGATGATGAAGAGAGAATATCGGGGTCAAAGATCAGTGACAGCAATAGCAGATTATATACGGCAACAGAAGAGCAATCCCATTCGAGAAGTATTCAGTTTGGAAGAAATTAACTCTCACGATGTGAGTCATTGTTTTTTAGATTGTGTGATCGTGTTACATTGAATAACTTTTAGGTGCAATTCAGAGTATGTTCTTGCTGCGTAAGAAGGTTTAGTGTGAACTGTAATTTTTTGTGTGGAATTAGCACCTTGATCTTTAAAATGTCTGTCACTGTATTTCCTCTTTAGACACGTAGTCCACTTTGCAAGGAATAAACTTTCATTTTAGCACTATGGCATATCTAGCATATATAAGGCCCATCCAGTCCGACACTCTGTCACACCGTGGCCAAAAATACCAGGTGCCATCAGGAGGTCCAGCACCTGGTATTTTTGGCCACTGTGTGACAAGAGTGTTGGACTGGATGGGCCTTTGGCCTGATCCAACATTGGCTTCTCTTATGTTCTTATGTACCCTGTCTGTCATCTGGGGGTACCAACTGGTGATAACCTGTTCCCCTGTCTGAAGGACTAAACAGAAATCCCTATGATTAATCATCTTTGATCAACTCAGTTAATTCATCTGTTTATTTTACAGCGCAGTAAAAGAAGCATTGTCGGATACTTCGAACAAAAAGAGTCAGACAACTACAGGACCTTTGAAAGAGTAGCAAATATTTTGCATGACGATTGTGTCTTCCTTGCTGCATTTGGGTAAGATGTTTGTTCTGCAATGACAAGAAGTTGAGAAGGCGGCTTAATTTGTGTGAACCACAGCTTCGACCCATGGAGCCCACGCACTGTAAGACACATGGGTCCAGAAGCTGAGTTTCCTTTATTCTGTGTTCCTCTTTCAAATTGCTGGAAGTTCTGCTGCCAGGGCTATAATAAAATGGGAACAGTTTCCTTCGTAATCTTTGAAGAATGGTGATCTGGAGCCCAGAACAACATTCGAATCCAGTGGCACCTTTAAGACCAACAAAGTTTTATTCAGGCTATAGGTTCTTGTGTGCACACAAGCTTCTTTAGGTACATTGAAATGGCAGTTACCAGTCCATACATATAGTAGAAGAAGAAGAAGAGACGAGGTTGGATTTATACCCCGCCCTTCATTCAGAGTCTCAGAGCAGCTTGCCATCTCCTTTCCCTTCCCCTCTTTCAGGGACTGCTCTTGAGAACAGCTCTGACAGAACTCTGGTTTGCCCAAGGTCATCCAGCAGCTGCAAGTGGAGGAGTGGGGAATCAAACCCAGTTCTCCCAGATTAGAGTCTGCACACTTAACCACTACACCAAACTAGTGTAGATAGAGGGTGAGCAGCAAATTAGCATACAGCATAATAACAACTTTAAAAGGGGATTAAATAAATTCATGGAGAGTAAGTCTATCAATCGCTACTAGCCATGGTGACAAAAGGGAACCTCCACATTCAGAGGCAGTAAGCCTCTGAATCCCAGAGCCAGGAGGCGACATCAGGGGAAGGCCTCAGTCTCTATGCACTGTAGTTGGCCATCCAGAGTAACTAGTTGGCCACTGTGTGAGACAGGACGCTTAACTAGATGGACCACTGGTCTGATCCGGCAGGGCTCTTCTTATGTTCTTATAATAAAGGTGTTTAACAGATGCAAAGACCAAACTGGAATAACAGGCTTAGTTTATATGGTCACCATATGTTTGAGTTTAATTCTGGGGGGGGAGGATTTCAATGTATCTGAAGAAGTACAATGTATCTGAAGAAGTACACACAACAGCTAATACCTTGAATAAAACTTTGTTGGTCTTAAAGGTGTCACTGGATTCGAACTTAGTTCTCCATGATCTTTGTTAAAGATGCTCTCCCTTCAGATGAGCTGCCTTGTGCACTTTGTTTTGTGTGCTCCATGCACATGAATGAAAAAATATTTGTAGGTTAATCCATAGATACTTGGAAGGATTGGGACTCTGGCAGCATAACCCTGTGCACATAACTCTTGAAGTGTATAGTGCTACACCCCCCTACCCATTATTCCTTTTAAAGCCTACTTAATAAACACAACACTTAACTTTGGTAGTAAAATAACTCTTCGCATTCTGCTTTAGGTCTGTTTCCAAACCGGAAAGATTTAGTGGGGACAATGTAATCTACAAACCGCCAGGGGTGAGTTGAATTTCCCCCACTTTTTTTTTGTCCTTTTAAATAAGATGTATTACTCTTAAAAATACATTGGCCTTAATCCTAAAAGCAATTATGCTATTTGTACTCTCCTTGCTGTGGTCAGTGTTTACTGGGTGGCAGCTTTAAATAGCGTTTTATTTCTTGGGATTTATTTTTTTTAGACCGAGCAGAGAGATCTCTCAGTATCTGCTTTCATAAATCCTTTTTTACTTCTGAAAATCACCCAAAGGTGAACACCACCCTGCAGCTATAATGCGGAGCAGCAGTCACCATGTGAGACAGTATCATTGTGTTGTGAATTACCCCGCCTTTATTGTGTGCCGAGGTCCATCAGTGGCTATTAGCCACAAGGTATAGATAGGGGCTCTGGGGCAAGGGATGCTCTGTCTTCTTGGTGCTTGGGGGGGGGGCAACAGAGGGAGGGCTTCTAATGTCCTGGCCCCACTGGTGGACCTCCTGATGGCCCCTGGTATTTCTGGCCACTGTGTGACACAGAGTGTTGGACTGGATGGGCCTTTGGCCTGATCCAACATTGGCGTCTCTTATGTTCTTATGTGTGCTGTACACTGTCTCCAACTGTGCGCAAAAACCCACAATTTGATGATGCTGCATTATGTGAGAACTGCTAGAGGGTACACTTGAGTTTGGAGGGAGAACACGTCTCAAGTCAGTGTGTTTTTGGCACCCTTATAGCAGGTGTAATGTGTAGCTTGCCCGGACCTGGATGACCCAGCCTAGCACAGACTCATCAGATCTTGGAAGCTAAGCACGGTCAACCCTGGTTGGTACTTAGTTGGGAAAACCACCAGGGAAGTCCAGGTTTGGTAGACAGAGGCAGGCAATGGCAACCCACCTCTGGACATCTCTTGCCTTGTAAACTCTTACCTGGTAGCCATAAGTCAGCTGTGACTTGACAACACTTTACACACACACACACACACAGTGTGTAGCTTGGCTGTTAAATGACAAAAAAAAATCTCTTGGTGCCGCTTTTCCTTGAGGATAACTGAAAATTTCTTTAAACAGGAAAATGCTCCAGATATGGTCTACTTGGGTTCTCTGACGAATTTTGACTTGGTTTATGCATGGACTCAAGATAAATGTGTCCCTCTTGTTCGTGAAATTACGTTTGAGAATGGAGAGGTAAGTTTTATTTATTTATTCCTCTAATTTGTACCCCGCCCTCCCTTGCCAAGGCAGGCTCAGGGCGGCTTACAGACAACATGTTAAACCAGTTAAAACACCATATTTAAATACAATCACGAACGATACAGAATAAAACATATCATCAAGTGCTAGTATAATTCATAGCTGATGGCGGCGTTCGCAGCATCCATGTGATTCAGCTACCACTGTAGTCTGGGTTTTGTCAGGTTATTGGTCATATTTTTGAGTTGAGTTGAGTTGGTGTTGGTATTGGGGCCAGGGCCTGGTTGTTGGAAGGGCGGCACCCTAATCGAAAGCCTGGTGGAAGAGCTCCGTCTTGCAGGCCCTGCAGAACTGTAAAAGGTCCCACAGGGCCCTGATGTAATCCAGGAGCTCATTCCACCAGTACAGGGCCGCCACTGAGAAGGCCCTGGCCCTCATCACAGCTAGCCTGACTTCTTTTGGGCCTGGAAGGGCCAGACGATTTTGGGACCCTGATCTTAGTAAGTTCTTCTTTATTCATCTGTCTGAGTCGGGGGTCCCCAGCATGGTGCCTGTGGTTGCCATATTGTCTGCCAACACCCTTCCCCGCGCCCACCAAGTGTTTTTAGCTTTTATCCAGGAGGGCTTCTGATTGGCTATTGGAGATTTGCTTGGCTTTGCAGATGTTTAAAAAATGTTTCCTTGGCGGCAGCTGCCACCACAGCACAACAATCTTCATTATGTGACTGAATGTAAGCTGTGGCTGCCATTTTTTCAGCTGACTCCCGCTCAAAAGCAGCCATTTTGTTGCAGCCATTTTGTGGCTGTGCCCACCATGTTATGTCAGAATTCCAAAGGTGCCCACAGGCTCAAAAAACATTGCAAAATCAACCACGTAGCCTCCGAACACTGCCATTACTAAAGGTAAAGGTTTCCCTTGCTCGAAAGCCAGTCGAATCTGACTCTAGGGGGCGGTGTTTATCTCCGTTTCCAAGCTGAAGAGCCAGCGCTGTCTGAGGATTTCTCCGTGGTCATATGGGTGGCATGACTAAACGCCGAGGCGCACGGAATGCTGTTTCCTTCCCACCTATTTATCTACTTGCAATTTCTTGCTTTCGAACTGCTAGGTTGGCAGGAGCTGAGGCCAGAGACAAGAGCTCACTTCGTCGCACGGCACTTGGGTCTCGAACTGCCGAGATCAACCTTCCGGTCTGCAGCTCAGTGTCTTAACCTCTGAGCCACCGCAGCATTACTATAGCGTATCATTATTCCTACAGATCTCTGATCATGTGCTTAGATTAGACCAAGCATGGTATGGCTGTACAGTGGTTTGTATTTGAGCAGAATATGTTACACACGCACCTATAATCGTATTAGATTTGCATAGTTTCGGCTTTGTAAGGATGCAGTATCTATAAATGTGGGAAAATATAATAATCTAGGATGAGGGCATGCAGTATTTGAGGAGGAGACAATAACAATTATCAGATCATTATAGCGGAGTGCTGGGTAAAAGCCAGATCAGAAAGAATGACTTTTCACAATGAGGATCAGTAAAGAGTGGAGTCTCAACATTAGAATCTCTTTTTAACTTCTCTGCATGGGAAAGGCTGAGAACAATGAAGGTATGAAACCTGCATCTGATGGCCTCAGTACGGCAAAACCCCTGTGTGCAGCTGTTGGCCGCTGTTGCTTGTTGTTGTTGCTTACATTTTGATTCCAGCAGTTGCTTCCAAATAGGCAAAGTACGTTTTAAGCTCCTGTGTATTGATATGTATTCTGTGGCTCAGCGGAAAGCTCCTTGAATGCGCATCCGAAGAAGTACAACTGACTAAAGACACATTTCTGAGCAGTATCCTATAAAATAGGTGGCTAAGACGTTCTTCTTTGCTCCCTATCCATTGAGTCACATGCATTCTTGTGACGATGTCCCATGTGGCTACAGCATCTATATATCTAATAGTGTCATGTGCAGTGTTCCCTCTAAGCTGCAGAGTCTTGTGAGCAAAAATTCTGCTTTGTGAGCTATTGGCATTCAAGTTGTGAGCGAGTGATTTGACTCCTGCATAAATGAGTTTGCTCTGAAGCCCTTCTTCCTGAGCTAAGACAAAAGTGTGTGAGCCGGAGGCTAAAAAACTGTGAGCTAGCTCACACTAACTCAGCTTAGAGGGAACACTGGTGTGGCCCCCATCTGTGGATATCTAAATCCACTGATCAGGGACACACTGACACTAAACAGATTTCCCTGCAAACTTGGGGAACCCCCCGCCCCCCAAGCTTTGCAGAAAAATCAGAGATCTTTTGTAAAAATACATTGGAGGGTTTAAATTTACGGAACTTACCTTTCTTCTCCAGAGCTGGTGGCGGCAGAGTCTGGGAGCCGCTCCAACCACAGCGATGGGTGAAGCTGGGAGTGGCTCTGGGCTGAGCCATGGCAGGCACTCCCAGACCCTGCCACTGCAGTGGTCAGTCTCAGATGGTGGGCCCGACCTACCTCACAGGGTGTCTGTTGTGGGGAGGGGAAGCGAAAGGAGATTGCAAGCCGCTCTCAGACTCCTAGTGAAGGGCGGTGTACAAATCCAGTCTCTTCTTCTCTTCTTTTAAGTGCCGATTTTATGCCTGTGTGCTGATCATCCGGTGGGGAAAGATAGAGCTGACTGGGAAAGATTCATGCAGTTGGCTGCATCGGTGTGGCTCCTGCCATGTTACACGTCCATATTGCAGCTGCCCAGGGAACTGTTATTGGGGGGGGGGGCATTGTTCACATTGTTTTGTATTTATGAGGGACCCTAAGTGGACAGTGCCCTGAGCTGGATGGCCCAGGCTAGCCCGATCTTGTCAGCTCTTGGAAGCTAAGCAGGGTCAACCCTGGTTAGCCCTTGGATGGGAGACCAGCAAGGGAAGTCTGGGGTTGCGGTGCAGAGGCAGGCAGTGACAGGTCACCTCTGAACATCTCTTGCTTTGAAAACCCTGTTTCGGGTAGCCATAAGGGGGGCTGCAAGTTGAGGGCACTTTCTGCCACCACCAAGCAGATGGCGAAGAGTTAACAAGTTGGGAACGGGGAAACAAAAGCTGACAATTGAATTCAGCCTCAGTGCCTGCAGACTGACTGTTTAGGTGATAAAGGGGAGCTATCCCTGGTGGACGTGCTTAAGGGCAAACAGTGTGAGGAACAGCTAATGAAGACATTACCCTGAAATAAAATAAATAACCTTTGCGGAGTCTTGAGATCTCCAAAACCTTCTCACTCTGATGTGGTATCAGGGTCTACTTGTCTTATTTGCGAAGAATGCGGTGAAAAAGGAGAAAATGGCACAGAAAACTGAATTGTGAAACACAATACTGTTGCTGACCCGGTGCAAGTGCTAGAAGTCATTTGTGAATCTTTTGGCTCTTACCGTCACGGGAGGCCCTTCCAAGTCTTGATTGAGGACAAATCATGCGCTTTGCAAAACAAAACTATGTATTCTTTGCAACATTTTGTCAGCGGTGTCAAATGCCTCTCTTCCCCCCCCCTCATCCATGAAGGCCCCGGTGGAGGCCAAGAGGGTGGGACAGGGTGATCCCCACCCCTTTTTCTTTCCTTGTTTGCATTATTAGATTTCTCACTTCTCACAGATTCTCCAACAAACTACCCATTGCTTGATCGCCCATAGAGCTGCATTTGGTGTAAAGAAAAACTTCACAGCTTTATTGGCTCCCAGGAGACAAAATAAACAGAACAAGATATTCGTATTTAATACAAACAACGCGACAAACGAAGGGACCCGTCCCATCGCGAAGCAGGGACACCAAGGCAGGCCAGTGTGCCGGCGCCCCAGCGGAGGATATACCCGGGAGGGCAGCCGCTCCAGTGTCTCGTCGTGGCTGGCTCTCGCTGGCAAAAAAAGCGGGGGGGGGGTTTGTCCCCTCTGGGATTTACAATATTGTTCACAGTGTCTCGTCAGAGGGATCCCGGAGATGGGGGGGGAGAGGAAGATCCCGCCGAAGGGAAGCCAGGAGAGCAGCTTGGAAGAGTCCCTCCCCCCCCTTTATTCTCACCCAAGCCTTCCTGTCCCTCCCCCCATTGCTTTAGCAAGCCAACCCTTTGCGGAGAGAGTGGCTGAAAGGCCCCGGGCTGAAAGCACGTCTCAGTCTGTCGGGCAGGGCTCCCTCCCTCCTGCCCTGCTCCGATGCGGGATGGTCACTGCAGCAGAGCTCCCACCTCACCCCTGTAGATAGGCGGGCTTCCTTAGCCTGCTCTTCCTCCCCGGAGCTCAAGACAACCCTATGAGGCAGATCAGGGCAAGATCGCTTTGGGCCCTGCTGTCGAGAGAAGCCGGGGGGGGGGATGCGCCAAGGCC